TTTCTCTCCTATGCGTCTTTCATTCACTCACAACTTACCCCAATCTTCTTGAGACGTGTAGTCAGCTATGCCAACTATTTCTGACTTTAATTATATCACAATACAAATAAAATAAATACAAATAGTTAATACTGTGCTATAATTTACTTTTGAACTTCTAGTATTTAAAAGGGGGGCGGGGTGTTGTCGAAAGCGATATGTACTTTGTTTAGGGGGTTCAATCGCGCGTTAAGGATGAGTTATAGGGGGGAGAAGAAATATTCAAAATACTCTAAATTTGCGTTACGTAAATTATAGACCACTCCCTATAAAATTAAGTTATATCTACTCGGCTGTCCGAGAGACGCAGCGGCCTAGGCACATATGCCAACATTTGGGCCTCATCTGCGACATCCCTCAGGGCATTTCGGGCAGGCAAATAGATACTAATACCAGCCTACGGTGGCCCAAAGCAAAAGCCGACGCTTTCAAGCTTCAGTTACACAGTCAGCATTTGCGGGAGATAGTCACGGGAATGAACGTTTCAATATTTCAAGTGTGTGTGTGTGTGTGTGTGTGTGTGTATGTATGTATGTATTTATGCATGCATGTATGTATGTATGTGTGTATATTTATATACACACACACACACACAATTTAGAAGCAAGGATTACGAATAATTTTTACTTTTACTTCTACTAAAAAAGTGCGAATTCGATATCAAGTAGAAAATCAAATGAACTAAAATATCTTCTTTGAAAACAATTTTAACTTTCTAGTATACGCACGAAAGAGAAAGTTACGTAATGCTGCAAAAATTCGTAGACGAAATTTTCACGGAAAAACGTTTTTTGGGGACCGCGGTACCGAAGACTGTGTCCGTCCGTGGACAATGCTAATGCATCAACCGCGCATGATATCGACTTTTTTTGGCAAAGCAAATTTACTGTACGAGCAAATTTCTTGATATTTCTTAGCGAGAGCAGCGGTAGGTGTGTGTGCGGGGAGAGGACGGTTCTGGCTATGTCACGCATTATAAGTGTGTACCAACTGTGTGCATAAACTTAACTCGTCAAAGCACGCCATGAAAAATACTACAATTGTTTTGAAAGTACGAGGTGGTTGTTGCCAGGATTGTAAATTGATACGTGCCGTTCCGAGTCGAACCTAAGTATCTCAACGGGCCGTGCTATTCAGCGTTTGGGTAAGAACTAGGGAGCTCCATCAATAAAACTTGCGCGAGCAATACTGCAATCTTTCGACCACTCTATACCTCTTTCGAGCATTTGCGCATGCGCATGCGCAGAGACTGCTGCAAAAAGTCCCTAATATTTTCACCACAATAGAGAGTCTACGATCGGTCTGGCTGCACTCGAGGCCCTCCAATTTGAAATGTAGATTTGGATTTTGGGGAGTACTTCACATTAAATCCCTGGAAGATTTCAAATTAAAAAGGCTCGACATTTTCTTTCTCTCTTTCTCGAATACAGCAAAGTACGCTTTTGAAAATAGCGCAGATTCAATTTTTATTATAACCTTTGAAACTTCCTAAAATTGTAGAAAATTCAAATGGTTTTCGAACCTATCCACAGCTTCCGTAAGAAATGCTAGAAATTGAATTCTTAATGCATCTCTGTGCCTACAACAACTTTATTTCTTTAACCTTTAAATACTCGCGCTGTTGTAAAAAAAAAAGTGCACCAATTGGAACATTTTCATTTTTACATGAAATGTTGCGCTTCAGTAGTGAATTCCTTCTAGGTATGCGTTTATTGATACTTCATTGTTAAAGCAGAAACAGAGATTACCTTAACAGTCGGTTGAGTAGTAAGAGTTGTGAGAGTAAAGGTGTTTCTGTTGTACATTTTACAACGCGCGAGTTGTTTTAATTTTTTCAACTGGTCCTTTAAGAACGAAAAAGTGGATAAATCCAGTTCTAATTCAGAAAAATCTTCTAACGCGTGGGGTAGCCAGTATCCATGTTTTGAGGATCCTCGATACCGAAAAATCGAATGATGGCAAACGTGTCTGGCTGTCTATCCGATTGAACAACGCTTTATTTTCTCCAAATTGATATTCCCCAATCAATCGGGCTGATTTCACGTCGCCTTGAATTTGAAACGGACATTTTAATTCTGGAGTACTCTAAACCCCTCAGACATTTTCAAAAACGTCATTGTTTTTTATTCAATTTTGTTGATGAATAGTGTTAAGGACGTTTAAGAGAATGCAGCAGGTCTAATTTTCGTTGAAAACCTGATTTTTAGAAAATTGTGAAACTTCAAATTGTTTTTCGGCGTCTTCCTGCAACTACAATTACGAAGATAGCGATTTTTTTCTTTTAATGAAATCTGTTTCTTAAAGATAGATTTTGAAATAAGATCATATACGTACAAGTTGTCGAATATTTGAGTACTTTTTTCGTAATTTTGCGTGATAGTGCAAGCGAGGAAGTACATGCCGTTTTAGCACCACTAGCTTTTGCAATGTATTGTAGGGCAGTTTAAATTTAAATATTGTCTTTTATTGATTGTTCTCTCTTTGTCATTCGAAGTAATGTAAAACACGCAAATAGAAAGAAAAATATTTATTAAAAGTAGTAATGTCAAACATTGTGGATGTTGTAAAATGTATTCTTCAATATTATAATGAGAAAGTATGAGCTTTTATACTCCCACTAGATAAATATATTTTTGTAAGTTTTGGTAATTTCAAAAAAATGCATCTTCTCATAATCCACTTTTTCTCATCATCTAGCAAACACATTCTATGTATACTCTGAAAACAGTTCACGCAAAAAGTAAAATTTATACTTACGTAAAGTTGTTATATCAATCTCTATAGTAGCAAGGCACTACGGGCTCAGTGTTTCCGCAGTCTTCCACTTTAGTTCAAATGAGTAGTATAGCAGCGCAAGTGTCAAATAGTATTTGATTTGCAGTTATTGCTTGTATTCATTTCAAAAAACGAATTGTTAATTATTGTAAAGACTTTGTATATAAAAGAATAGGCAACTTTATTCTCTCAACACAAGGATCCTAAAAATATTTGAGAATTGATCCTATGAACTACTGAAGTAATTGTTTCAGTTTCATTTTAACTTTTACAATCCATCCTAATGTAAAAAGTTTGTAAATTATGGAATAACAAAATAGGCAGTTGCACATGCAATTCGCAATACATGTTACCATTATGTATAACTTTAAATCAATCAATCTCAGACCCTTAAAAACAGTTTCAAACAAGATCACGAAATGTCTCATTCAATGCTTTACTATTAAGCTCTTCAGTTATGAACACTTTATCAAAGGCAAATATCGAGTGTTACATAAGGTTTTGAGAGTGAAAAAGTAATATTTTTCAGCAGAGATTTTAGTTAACTTTTATCTGAACAAGCGATGTTCAGAAATATTTCATTCAAAACAATAAGATTTGTAATTTTCTTATAATTTCCATTCTGTACAAAAATGTGCCAATAAACAAGCATTTTTTCAACTTCTTAAATATTTCCTTGAAAATTAGCATCTAAAACAAAAATTTACTTTCTTAAAGAAGCACAGTTGCAATAAACAACCATGTACAATCCCAAAATATATGTTCAGGTCTTTCTATTGTCTGTCTACGCATATTTGAAACACGTAAAGATTCACACTAAGGAGCATGAAGTCAATGATGCATACTCTCCAAAGATGCAACTGTTCTTGGTCCTTAAGTTAATTCTCCACATACTTCTTCCCCTAAAACAACTCTATTTGTATTTTCATTTTTGAGTAACCATGATAACGTTAAATTTTCAAGAGCTTTGACAAGACCACATCATCTACAGTATTTGGTACTTTCTTCCATGAAAAAGCTTAAATGATATTCATTGCTTTGTTTAGTAGACAACATGAACCTTCTAATTTTTATAAGGAAATTAGTGTTAATCTAATTAGTAATGATTAAGTCAGCAATATTAGATGCAGAGTCCAGGGCACCATAAAATTCTGATTAACTGAAGTTTTCCTAGGCTAACTTTGGATATTTATAAATTCCAATTTAAGATTCTAACTCCTTTTAGCTTCTTTTTAGGATCTAAAGGATTCATGTATTTGGCTCAGAAATGATTAAAACCCTATGAGTTTTAAACTAACGATGCTAAGAAACGAGGAATAAAACAGGATAAAACCTAAGAATCAAGGCCCTACTTATCACCTCTTCCCATCCTCTCCCACTCGTATCTTGGGCTTTACTAAATCTTCACAATTATAAAAATATTAAAATGCATATCTTAGTTAAAATATTTAAAGTATATTTCACATCATCAAATAATAAATTAAGAGGAAATGTAGATGTCTCTTTTCTAGTCATCTCTGGAAGTTTTGCCTCTGATGCTGTGCTTTGAGAGTGCTCATGTGATTGCGATTTCCTCAGAAAAGCATCTTGCCTCTTGCGCAATAACACTTTGACATGTATTAATGTGCATGGGGAATACCCCTCATCTTGTCCTCGGCCTTCCTTTCAATATCTGAAATGTTGAAATGCCAGCGACTGGTAGGTGGCTGTTAGCCTCTAATTCAAAATGTTAGGGAACCTGGGCAAATGTTGCTTTATACACTGTCAATGATCTAGTTACTTCTTGGAAACAATCTGATTAGTCTATCCAATAGTCTCGAATACAGATAGGTAGGCAGTATGTAAATGTATGGGGATGATGCATTACATGATATGATACGTGTTATAAGTTGTTCACCACATTTCTTGATTAATTTGAAGTGTTAGAATGTTAACTGTCACTATTAGCAATTTCACCAGTGTTGTCTTGACACATATTTCCATTTTAAAAAAATCATTGCACTTATGTTTACTGAGCTCAAGTTGTGTACATATTTGTATTTGCCCTGCAACATATTAAAAATATGAAATTAACTGAAAAAATTATCTACCTCTTCTTCAGAATTTCAGTAGACTTTTCAAAGACGTTAAAAATATAAATATAAGAAAAGTAAACGAAATCGTTAATCAAATTTTGCTCAAATACATTACTCTGCTGCTTTTAGCTGAAAAATTAATAATCAAGAATATCTATGTTTAAATTGCTCATAAAAAGTGAAGCGCTATCAGTTTAAGCTTTGACTCAATAAAAACTCAATACATATACTTTTCCAGGGTCACTAAAGGTGTCTGCAATCACTATAGTTCTCAAACCGATCAAGACTTTGCTTTGGAGACACACCATGCAGCAAATAACCATCAAAGGAAGGAATACATTCTTCAGAGCACCTGCATGGCATGTTGTTAATAGGGTTTGCTTAGCTCTAGTAAACACGGTCTAATGCACTGTAGAAATCTGGAAAGTCAAATGGGGAACATACATATTATTCACTCCCAGTTGGCATTCACATTTGCAAGAAAAACTGAGCCAATCAGGTCGCAGAATATCTGTTGTTTCAATTGAAAATATTACTAGATTTAAATGGAAAAATTATTTTGAACTTTTTGTGTTACAAAGAAGAACATGCACCAGTTTTTAAATCAGTGCTTGCACGCAAAATTTTAATTAATCTTGTAACAAAAGTTCCCATGAATAGAAGGAAAACTTTGTACTAGAGTATGTTTTCTTTAGAGAATATAATGACATAAGTCACTTTGAATTATAATTTATTTTCACTGAAGCTATTGTTACTATTGAAAATTCTATTTTCATACATTTCTGCATTGATTCTTTCCCTACATTTTAAGTGATATTTTATATCTGTTTTGACAAAGAGACTTAAAAGAAAATAAATCAAGAGATTGGGATACCTGCAAGTTATACTCCGTTTCGTCTGATTTGTTTACAATATTCCAGGGATAAGGGGATGATCCATACAATTTGAAAAACAGACAATTACATACTGGCACAAGATGGGTTGTAAGGTCAAAAAATATATGACTTCCAAACATGAACATTGAACATTTATCAATGATTGTGAATTTGCGAATTGGAATAATACCTAAACCTGAATTTCAATGTAATATGATGTTTATGAAGAAAATAAAGTGCCAACGGAAAGTGAATACCTGCAAGGATGCATTAACACAGGTCACAGCCATATAACACACACTGCAGCCAGGTTTTCACACTGCTAACACGGGTTTGGCCCCAAAGGTAACATACGCCAAAATCTTCAATTTAAGGTCACATCACATATCAGCATTCCCATGTTCATTGAATAATGTATCTTTTGTGGGACATATTCAAACCTTTCATGCAATATTTTATAAACAGCAAGAGCATAAAATGGTTTGAAAGATTCAATAAATGGAACAGTACTGTGAAATCGTGCTTGCAAAATAATTTTTTGTTGTTCCAATGAAACTCAGAATTATAAAGTTGTTTATTTATTGAATGATTCTACAGCCAAATACAATAATCATTTCAACGATACATCTGATTTTTCTATTTAGGGCTTACATGCAATGTAAATGAGGATAAAATGAAAACTAACAACAATGACTAAAATAATTAATACCTCACGTATCAAATAATATTACTCTCATTTGTAAATCAAAGAAATTATATAAATTTAAATATATATACTTTTTGTTAAGACATAAAGGCAAATTACTGATTAGTTTCTTTTAAGGCAAATAAGAAAATTTTATTGAAATCTTTTTTAAGCAAAATTTTCGTATAATACTGAAAATGTAAATGCCTTCTTATTTATCACAAACTCAAATTATCCAATATTACACCTATTCACTACAAACTCTTACTTTTAGTTAATTCTTAACCCAAAGCCCATTCACTTTTGGAATAAAATCTTCATACTCATTTTTTAAAACCTGTGTTCAAAAATTAATTTTTGAATAGTAGTATTATATGCAACTTGCATGTTTACCGGTTCTGAAAATTAATATTTGAAACTTTTAAAACCCACTTTTCTGTTCTTTGTTAATTTTTGAGTGTAGGATATCTTTTCTCTCACAGGTCTTAGTTCAGAACCCCTACCTTTAAGCAACAGCCATAGCTAAAATGTCACCACAGCACCAGGGAATGCCCATATGTGATAAGGCCATGCAAAGGCCACAGACAGGAAACAAAACAGGCCAGCTACTTTGAGCAGCAGTTGCACAACTGACCCACTGTACAATCTGTCCACACCCTTCTATCTTTCTTTCTTTCTTTTTTTTTTTAAAAAAAAAAAGTTTTCAGAAATGTTATTTTACTATAATTGTGTTGATAATGTGTATGTGTATTTTTGAAAGCAATGCACTTTCACACCTATTTGTAAGGTTAATAATAACATTACATGGACATTAGAGAAATGAAACATAATTAGAAGAAATATAATTGCATGAAATGTTTATGGCAGGCTCAGTCAAATTTAAATTACCTGGCACCACGATGTCCCTTCACCCAAGCTCTGGAGAGAAAGGCAAATTTCATAAAAACAGCAGCTGGTTTTATGAAAGTTTATTGAGAACCAAAATTAAAAATTGTACAGAGGGAAATAAAATTATATAAAAAAAGAGAACAGTGCATGCTAGCCTTTTCCCACACAACAACAAACCAGAAGCTGTCACCCAGCAACCACAAGAAATCAGTTTTCCTAAATTAATATTCTCATGTTATCACATGACTTGTTAGTTACACACTCTTATGGGTGAGAGCTTCGGTTTTTTTGGGTGGGAGTACTTCTTCTCACACCCATCACCGTGTGGGCCAAGCAGATGAACAACCAATTGATCAAACAAACGAACAAACAATTAAAAAGTGACTACAAGTTGTAAAGAAGCATACCCCACAGGCTCTACATTACACAGCTACTGAACACCAAAGCTACGGGTGCGGAACAAACATGCATACGCACTGGTGGGACTCGCGCGCGCGAGCTACCACACACCACTTACGGGGGGAAGTTGAACGCAAGCGCTCCAGCGATACGCCTGCACATACAAAACAAGTGGGAGACAATGCTCATGAAGTAGGGTGACAATGCCTCTCTTCCCACCCTTGCCTCAAAACAATTGGAAAAAAAAATATTTTATGACAAAAGTTTTCTATGTCCACTGAAAAGTAAAAATATCTGAGAACTTTTTCTCCAAGGAAATTTTGATAATAGCAAGTTTGTAATCAACAATAACCCTGATTACTTAACGCAAATTGTAAAATAGTACTTAAAAACTGTGGTACATTAATGTTATAAAAGTATCTTCAAAAATATTTTCCCCTCTTTTCAGTATAAATCTGGATAAATTTAAAAATGAAGATGCTAAAAAAACGCTCAAACAACTGAGACAATTTGTAAATTAGTGCTAAATAATTTAGATCTTTAACGAAATGTGCATTCATAAAACCCAATCTTAGTATCCCAATAATGCTCACTGTCACAAATATAAAACAATATTGATATTTACTATAAATACACCCTTACTTTAGTTCTCTAAAAAAAATAAAGTAAGCTAATATAGAAACAATTAGCTCATTTGAATTTTGGTCTTTTCAGAAAAGGGAAATTGATACATATCTTCAAATACAGTATGTTTTTCCATTACATTACTGTCATTATTAGTATTTCCTTCACCATGACTCAGTTTTATGAGACTTAGAATTCACTGCTTGCTGTTTTAATAGCATTAAAGACCAATTTTGGAGGTAAAAAAATGCCAGGCTAATTCTACAATGCCAGGCAGATTAATAAGACTAAAGAGGACATGATAAATACTTTAGCTAGAGAAACATCAAGCAGTGAAAGAAGTCTACAGAGTTATGTTAGGTGTCAGTGAGACACCCTATTATCCAAACATCCATCACCATAACCATCACCACCAACAAACGGTTATGTTTGGCTACGAGTGGACTCCCACAGTCACAGTGACACGTCTTTCTTGACAAAGTACACTGCTACATAAAAGTCGTTAACAGTAGTTGACACTTCCATATTGTTGCCAACTCAGGATGTCAATTATGCAAGTCACTGAAATTCATATATCTTGAGGAACTGAATGTAGCCATTAATGGCTATGAGCAAACAACTAATGATAGATAAAATGAGACCATCTCTTACAACCACCCACCACTGAAAAACTCAGCTTAACTGAACAACACAAATATATATATTAACAACATAAAACTATTAAACCTAGAGTATCATGCCAGTCCTTCATCACTGTGGATAAACCCAGCCTAAATCATTTTACTATAGATATCCCCCCCCCCATAATCAGCATATGACGAAAATTCTCTGACGTGAATTTAATATATTTCAAAATTGATTTAACACTTAACTAATCCAGACTACTTTGAAAACGTAGACAACATCAAAGTCATAACTCTCTCATGTGTTTCTGTCCTGAGATTTCAAAAAAACAGCCTGTCGTTAAACGATCTTTTCCCCGAAGAATCCCCATTTCTTCGAAACCTATACAGCACAACATGCCATACACTAGTGTTTATCTCAGGAACCTTCCGAGGAACAACCAAAAACCAAGTAAGAGAAAGTTTCTCTTATTTCAAGGACTGGGTTCACATGTCAATAGCGGCACGCAGTCCTCCGAATCTTCGGCCGGGCAGCTCTCTTGCCGGGCGGCAGGAGCGTGGGTCGTACCTATCTCGTGCAGGAGCTGCGGCGGGCCGGGCGGCGACAGGGCCCGGGCGCTCAAGGGCTTCTCCAGGCACGGCGCGCTTCGGGACCAGCGCTTGGGCCCGTGGAAGACCAGGGCCTGCGGCGCCAGCCCCGGCACAGCCGCCAGGGGGATCTGGCAGCGCTCGCGCTGATGCACGGTGCTGGGGCCCCACGTCTTGCCCTTGACGCCGTCAGCCGGCACTGCAACACGGACCCACGGCCCAGAGCCATGTGCTTCAAAACACAATCAATTGTCCAACATTACCTATTAGAGGAAACAAACAAGAAACATTTGTTTTCCCAAGAAAGGCACTCTATGAACACACAAAAGTTCCCTGACGTTGCCATTGAACATGATTTCCTTGGCAAAGTTAATTTTTACTGCTTAAGATTTGGTTAAAACTATTGCATCTACGTTTAATTACACCATACTTTTAGGTGGAAACATCTTTGATGCTATTCAAATAATACATTTTATATTGAACTATGATTTAAGGATGTTTTCCTGAAAGAGTAAGGACAGAGGTAGAATAATATAAAGTTCATCTAGGAAATGAATCCTAACAATTATGCCTTTTCTAGGTAATACCAAATTTTAACTTTTCTATAATTCGCTGGCAATTAGCCGCCCCATAAATATGCCCAAAGTGAGCAGTAAATCCTCGTAAACACTTGAAAAAGCAAATAAGTCACATACACTTAAAAAAAAAATTAAGTATCTTCAAACATTTTAAAATCTATTTTATAAGTCTTTCAAAGATGGAAATATTTAACATGTTATTGAATGGATTAGAAAAAAGAAAATATATATATTCTGAGAAATAAATTCTCAAACAACAGAATTTGTGTCTTCATTTGATGAAAGTAAAACTTCATTTCAAGATACAAAACAAATTAACATGATGACAAACGAACTATGGAAAGGTAAATTATGAAGAAAAAAAAAATGTTATTAATCAATTATGTCTTTGCTATAATGACACTAATTTTTTAAATATTTATAATTACCTAAGCATTTACAAATTTGAAAAGAAGGGCCATTTCTTCTTGTTAGCCTTTTCAGATCATTCTTGATGTTAAAATGCAACACCAGTGATTAACTTCTCTTCCCTACATTTTGAGTCTGAGCAAATTTAAATAAGAAAACATTTCATTGACATAAAAAAAAAGAAATACTGTGTTAGGAAGATAAATTGAATTTATTTTTTTTAATGCTACAAATTGTGTTGATCTTGACTAACAATTATGATCAATCTCTGCTAAATAATCTCTATGAATAAAAACATAAATACGGCTTTGAGGCAACATAATGCAATCCTCTGTGAAATTCCTAATGCAATTGGAACAAAAAATGAAGTTAACATGTACATTCCCAAATCACATGTAAAGATGTCTTCTTCGATTCACTTGATCAAATCACTGTTACAATTTTTCAATACTATTTTTTTTTTTTGCAAGAAAAACATCACCTTCTCTGAGGAAACACTTTTCATCCTTAACCTTCTACACAAGGTACCTCTAACACTCACAACAATGTTCCACGTCTTTATACAGCATTGCTCATGAATAATTCTCCTTCAATGTAGTTATGTCATTAAATGTCGAATCGTTCTATGCCATGTCACTACTTTCATCCCTATCAGTTAGTGCTGTTAATATCTTGGGTTCCCAGGTAGTCACCCGGTAGACTCTCGATGTCTCGAGCTGCTTAACCTCCGTGACTTCACGGAGCATGGATAGACAGATTGGCTGCTGATCACTAGTACCCATCTTGCTTCATTGAAGAAGGGGAAAGAAAAGGTGCCTGAATCTTTGCACACAATTTCTCTTCTTTACCATTCTATTCCTCATATTCTCTAAGGTTACGTTTTCCCAATGCAATGTAATGTGAAATACACTGACAACTGAAACTGTCACTTTGGTATAAAAGCAGACATTAACACCTCACAATACAACAAAACTAAGAAGTTCACTGTTTTTTCATTCTAATATAAAAAACTCTATTTTCTAAACATTCCGAAACAAATTAATATCTAATAACAAGAATACCAAGTGGAAAAACCAGCAATTTTTTTCATATTCGGAACATAATAAACTATAATATAACAAGACCAAAGAATATGGCTATTCAAAACTTTTCTTCCGAATTTTTTTTTTTGGATATAAGAAACTTCTAGATTAATTTACACAGTTTTTTTTCTAAGAATACCATAACTTCACTATCTCAAAATTATAAAAAGAGCAAATTTATAGATTCAATTATTTCAGTTTTCCATTCATTTGATTTCTTAGAAAAGGGGTATTCCTTTACAACATTTCAGAACTTTCCTTCCACAATTGATCAACGTAGTCTACAGAGAAAATCGGCTTTACCTTAGCTGGCACAGGTACCTCTATCTGCTTCTCCCTGCAGTAAGCAGCAGTGGTCTTCTTTCCAGATGTTCTGCAATTCCTCTGGCAATCTCCATTCAGGAACCTAAATTTTTCCCACCCAACAACCCCAAAACTCCTTCCGCTCATCACTAAGCAACAACATGCTATTCTACTGTGGGGTTTTAACTAAAAATCTGAGAGGCAACATGCTAAACAACAATAACACCAAATACGACAACAGAACAACTTAACGAAAGAAAACCACTCTTTAAATAAAAAATAAAATGAAAAACAAGAGAAAAAAAGTGTAGTCAAAGCGAACGCTGTGGGCAAAAGTGAAAAAAGGAGCCCAATATAAAACCAATAAGTACTCACGTGCGATGGCGCGTAACCTGGGTATACTGGGACTTCCTGGAGGACTATTAGGGCTAGATGGATTCCGAGAGCCTTTGCTATGCTGTACAGTAATGGTGTGTCGGAAATCTGAAAAACACAAAAGCTGTCGATAAAGAAAGATATGTCAGTGTTTGAGAAAGTATTACCAAAAGTGCTACTATATTGGGTGAAGGAAGGGGTTAAAACACATCCTAACCATGATCAAAGAGAGCAAGATACACAAATAAATAGCACGATTTAATGGAACCACACAAAATCACAGAAAATATGTATAAGAGAGAGTAAGAACAATAGACTCACCTGCAGGCAAAGAAATGGACGACTTTAGCTTCTTCTACCACAAGCCCAGCTACGAAAACAACAAAGACTAGCTTCGAAGGGAAGATGATGCTGGAACCGGGATCCTTCTTGAGCAGGCGCAGGTACAAAGAAAAAGAGACTCACCAGAGGGAAAGATGGTGCAAGAGTCGGGCTCCTTCTCGAGCAGGCGCAGGTCCAAGAGTCAAAGAGACTCGTCCGAGGGGAAAGAGATGCTGGAGCAGCTGCGAGAGCGAAAGAGACTCGCCAGAGGGGAAGGAGCTGCTGGAGGCAAGCTGCGAGAGCGAAAGAGACTCGCCAGAGGGAAGAGATGCTGGAGCAGCTGGAGAGCGAAAGAGATCACCCGAGGGGAAGGAGGTGCTGGAAGCAGCCTGCGAGAGCGAAAGAGACATCACCACGAGGGGGAAGGAGGTCTGAGCGCAGCTGCGAGAGCGAAGAGAGACTCACCCGAGGGGAAGGAGGTGCGTGGAGCACTGCGAGAGCGAAGGAGACTCCCCGAGGGGAGAGGATGCTGGAGCAGCTGCGAGAGCGAAGAGACCTCACCCGAGGGGAGGGAGGTGCTGGAGGCAGCTGCGAGAGCGAAAGAGACTCACCGAGGGGAGGAGGTGCTGGAGCGCTGCGAGAGCGAAAGAGACTCGCCCGAGGGGAGGAGATGCTGGAGCAGCTGGCGAGAGCGAAAGAGACTCAGCGAGGGGAAGGAGGTGCTGGAGCAGCTGCGAGAGCGAGAGACTCCCGAGGGGGAAGGAGAGGCTGGGGCAGCTGCGAGAGCGAAAGAGACTCCCAGAGGGAAGGAGATGCTGGAGCAGCTGCGAGACGAAAAGAGATCCCCGAGGGGAAGGAGGTGCTGGAGCAGCTTGCGAGAGGCGAAGAGACTCACCCAGAGGGAAGGAGGTGCTTGGAGCAGCTGCGAGAGCGAAGGGAGCTCGCCGAGGGGAAGGAGATGCTGGAGGCAGCTGCGGAGCGAAGAGACTCACGCCGAGGGGAAGGAGGTGCTGGAGGGCAGCCGCGAGAGCGAAAGAGACTCACCCGAGGGGAAGGAGGTGCTGGAGCAGCTGCGAGAGGAAAGAGACTCCCGAGGGGAAGGAGATGCTGGTAGCAGCTGGAGAGAGCGAAAGAGACTCACCGCGAGGGGAAAGGAAGTTGCTGGAAGCAGCTGCGGAGAGCGAAAGAGACTCGCCGAGAGGGAAGGAGATGCTGGGCAGCTGCGAAGAGGCGAAGAGACTCGCCAGAGGGAAATGGAGAATGCTGGAGCAGCTGGTAGAGCGAAAGAGACTGGCACCCGAGGGCAAGGAGTGCTGGAGCCGCTGCGAGAGCGAAAGAGAACTCACCCGAGGGGAAGGAGGTGACTGGAGGCAGCTTGCGAGAGGGCGAAAAGAGACGTCAACGCCGAGGGGGAAGGAGATGCTGGAGCAGCTGCCGAGAGCGAAAGGAGACTCGCCCGAGGGAAGGAGATGCTGGAGGCAGCTGCGAGAGCGAAAGAGACTCCGCCAGAGGGAAGGAGATGCTGAGCAGCTGCGAGAGCGAAGAGACTCACCCGAGGGGAAGGAGTGCTGGAGCAGCTGCGAGAGCAAAGAGACTCACCCGAGGGAAGGAGGGGTAGCTGGGAGCCAGCTGCGAGAGCGAAAGGAGACTCACCGAGGGGAAGGAGATGCTGGAGCAGCTGCGAGAGCGCGAGAGACTCACCCGAGGGAAGGGAGGTGCTGGAGCAGCTGCGAGAGGCGAAAGAGACTCACCCGAGGGAAGGAGGTGCTGGAGCACTGCTGCGAGAGCAAAGAGACTCGCCGAGGGAAGGAGGTGCTGGGAGCAGCTGGGAGAGCGAAAGAGGACTCACCCGAGGGAAGGAGGATGCTGAGCAGCTGCGAGAGCGAAGAGACTCACCAGAGGGAAGGAGTGCTGGAGCAGCTGCGAGAGCGAAAGAGACTCACCCGAGGGGAAGGAGGGCTGGAGCAGCTGCGAGAGCGAAAGAGACTCGCGCCGAGGGGAGAGGAGGTGCTGAGCAGCTGCGAGAGCGAAAGAGACTCACCAGAGGGGAAGGGAGGATTGCTGGAGCAGCTGCGAGAGCGAAAGAGACTCGCCGAGGGGAAGGAGTGCTGGAGCAGCTGCGAGAGCGAAAAGAGACTCACCCGAGGGGAAGGAGGTGTGGAGCAGCTGCGAGAGCGAAAGAGACTCACCAGAGGGAAGGAGGTGCTGGAGGCAGCTGCGAGAGCGAAAGAGACTCACCCGAGGGGAAGGAGTGCTGGAGCAGCTGCCGAGAGCGAAAGAGACTCACCCGAGGGGAAGGAGATGCTGGAGCCGGGCTCCTTCTTGAGCAAGCGCAGCCGCGAGCGCTTGAACTTGCCGCGCCGTTTCTTGGGCGTGGGCGCCGGCGTGTGTGCCTGCGCCTGCTGCTGGATGATCATGATGTGCAGCTCTCGCTCCAGCAGGTCGATCTCGCGCGCCGCCAGCTCCTGCTCGCGCTGGCGCAGGTGCTCCTCCAGCAGCTGCTGCTGCAGCTGCGCGCGCGACAGCTCCTCCTCCCTGCAGCGCAGCTCCTGCCGTCACACGCGCCCGTCTCATTGGCGGCCCCTCCCCCAAGGACACAGAGGGGCAAGGAGGGAGGCCCTACAGTCGACAACGACTGCTTATCTTCCGATAAAAAGATTCTGGGGCAATTTTTGGTGTACACCAAAACAATGAAGACAAACTATAAAAGTGATGTGTCAATTTCAGAGGAAAACCAATGTACATGGTGTCCGGAGAGGAAACGTCGATTCTTCGCAAATAAGGGCTAAAGACAATTTTAAGCATCTTTTGTATAATAAACTACGTTGGTATTCCGAATGGCTAAGCCGCTGTAAGCATTCAAAAGTCGATTTGAAAAATGCTTTCTAAGCAAATATTTGAATTGCAGAAACACAGAAACACTCTAGATACATGTAAATTGTTTATTATTCTCAAAAGAAATGAATATGTTTGTTCAGAAAGAACAATTAACAAACAAACTACAGAAGGGCACAGACTTTCCCGTATTAGTTTTCTATTTCCTTTGGTTCGGCTAGCTATTCGAACTTGCCACATACTCTTGCAAGCTGGCAAAATACATTTTTTGTTAATTCTTAATTTTTCGATTCAATAATAGAGCTCAATATTATTTTAAGATTATTATTGAGCAGTAAAACAGCGCCCTTAATGGCAATTTTCTTTGAAAAATTTGGAGCCGTTTTTAAGATATATTCCATGTACATTCCAAGAATGTTCCAAATGTCAAGCACTTTTTGACAGAAGAGTTGCGAGTTTTCGAAAAACTTCATTAGAAGTCATTTTAAGCATTTAAACTCACCAATGCAATATATTATGCAATGGAAATATGCATATTATCAGCGCGGGAGATATTAAATAAATACTATGTTGTAATTAAAAAAAATAAACTCTGAAATGAACTTTACCTCACATCTACATCATTGAAGAAAAACATAGGAGCCGTTTTTGCGAAAATGGCGCTGGAGCGTTTCTGAAATTGCGAAATATTGAGCTATATCTGACAGAAATTGGTTAGAGTTTTCGAGAAGTTAAAATTGATATAATTCAAAGCACATGTACTGATAAATATGTGAGCAAATTGCTGCTAATGTAAATATTAACGACGTGGGAGAAGTCAAAATATTACATTTTTGTAATTTTTGAAAAAGAAAGATTATGTTGTCTGATGGAGAGCATTTAGCATAATCCCTACCAAAAGTTTAATGAAAAATTTAGAGTGGTTATTGAAAAAAATGTTTTTGTAATTTTTTAAAATTGCACGCAATATCGTGTGAAAACTACTAAAATTCCCCAAAAGTTACATGACCTTTATCAAAGAACAAATTATGGACAACAAATTATATTTTAAGAAAAACATCTCTATCTTTAGTTTTGTTGTAGGAAGACCCCCCAAAAATTCAAACTTTTTTGCGATTTTCGAAAATTCAGAGTTTATCGTGAAAATCGAACCTAGGCCACATTTATAAGTGCATTTTACTATATTCTTATAAGAAGTTTAAAGAAAAAATTTGGAGCTATTTTTGAGAAAATTTTGAAAACGTCCAATGGTCTTCTCGTCGTCTTCCCAGAATTCCATCTTTTTAGGGGTCTATTCTGCTTTGAGGCAATCACCTGCTTAAGAACACAAATTAATGAATGATTTTCAAAATTGCAGCTTCGACTCAGGCCAAATGGACAGGGGTTTCTTCAATTTGGAAAAACATCCTTCACATGGTTTAGTGTTGTTCACATACACTAGCGAACGATTTGAAAAAAAGGGAGGAAACCTTTTCGGTATCAGGGGACCGCAAAACGAGTATTTCCGTTGAAATCTCGAAATCGATTTCCGCAGCATTACTTAACTTTACCTAAATTGCATATATTACTCCGTATATACGTACGTACAAGGGAAAGTATAAGTACCAATTTACACAATTCGATTGGTTTTTTATTTCTTTGTTAATTTTTCTTTCCGAAAAATATATATTAATTTATTTTGTTAATAATAAACAATTTACATGTTTCTACGTTTCTGGAATGCAAACTTTTGAATAGAATTTTTTTTTTTGAAAACTTTTGAATGCTTACAGCGGCTTAGCCATTGGGAATATCGAAGCCGTTTATTGCACAAAATATGTGCTTAAAATTATCTTAAGAGCTTATTTTCGAAGTTTCGACGTTTCCTCCCCGGACATTCTGTATAATGGGGTTATGGAAAAATGCTTGCCTTATCAGATTGACTCTGCTGATGTCAATAATGATGAATTCTGTGAGTGAACATTACTTACGGGGACCCACGGAAGACTTGTCCTTCTATTAATGTTAATTGATAAATTATCTCATGGAATCGTTCGGTTACATTCCAAATGTAAATTAGCAGTGTTGGAAGTTAGGATATCTTAATCTAATCTACGTAGCGTACTATTAGGGAGTATATGCAAGGTGTAGTGTTATAGCACATCTATCTTCTGTGCACGCGCAGTTCTTGATTCGCGCCAGTTTTATGCATCTGCGCATGCGCTCAAAACAGAGATTGCAGGCGATTGCTGAACGCTATGCCGTGCGAACTCCGTATCTTTGTAGTAGCTATGCAACCAGAGCGAAAATAATAATATTATACTCGCATTAAACGTACGGCGAATTGACACCGATTAGCTAGGCGCTTATTCAATTGGAAGCTTCGTTACAACTTATTTTTTGATATTGAAGCCCCCCGTTGGGTAACGGCACCTCACCTAATCCAAAGTCAACTCGCCCTATGTTTTCATTGGGAGTCCACGAGTTATTATAGTTTGGAAATATTGCGTTCCGGTATCTGTAGGAGAATATTGCCTCACAGATCAACTTCAGTACAATGACTCATTTTTGGAAATAAAAATAATCAAATAACATTTCCCAATTAAAAGTTTACACTTTAATGTAAATTCGATTGCAGATGTATTAATTGCATTTTTGTGTTGTATTCATTTTGAAGTTTCTCGGTTAACACACTTTAGTCTTTAACGCCGTGTCAATCGCATCAGATCTGTGTATATTTCTATAATGTTCATTGTACGTGAGCACTTGAAAGAATTTTTTTTTACACTAATCCTTGATTATTCTTATCCATGAAGTTGGTAGATTAAATTGACTTATCAGAATAGCCACTCATTTCCTGCAACTAATTTCCATGACTTGTCCCGGTTTCCCAGTGAATATTTATTTTTGCCTGTTAGGATTTGTAATTTCAGAAAATAATATTTATTAAAGAAAATATTGAAGTTACCCTAATTGTAATTGGTCGGCTGAGCGATTTCGCCGTGACAAAGTACAAATTATCGACATTCTCAACAAACTGAATAGAAAACAACACTGTACCACTGTTTTTAAGAGATAACTGACTTTATAACATTCTCAAAATTTAACATTAAATTTTTCCTGATTCTAGCATTTCTACAAATTCCACGATTTTTCCAGAGCAATGATTCCCTGATTTTTTCGGATTTGCCAGAAAGCGGCACCTATGGATGTCCAAATTGGGTTTCCAGAAGTAATGATTATCCCGTATAGTATCTTGCTAATGGGATAAATATCAAAGCACAAACTTGTATATTTAAGAATTTCTACTAAATAAGCAGATGCTTTTAAGAAACTGGTTACTTCATTATAATAAAAGAATAAAGTGATGCAGGAACCAAAGTCATTGAAGAAAATTTGAAGGACAGATCATTTAATCCAAAGTTTGCCTCTTGTTAGAGGATCACTCCTCTCCAACAAAACTACATTGCCTACTCTCCCCAAAATAATTAGATTTGTATTACATAAATAAAAATTAATAACTGTACTTGCTTTTCAAAACAATTTGAAAGTTCAATTATGAATACAAAATATACTTTCAGCACAACGTAAAATATTGTACGAGTTGAACATATTGACTTTTCAATATTTAATTACATTTAATGATGTGCAGAATTTTGAAAACTCTTAACCTAAGTTTCCCATGTTAATAATTTGTTTAACTCATTAACTTTTTTTTTTTCAAAGAAAGCAAGGGGAAGAATTCCATTATATTATTAACTAGTTAAAAATTATATTAGATTCAAAATTCTTGTTCATTATACCACTTGTGGATGAGATACATAATCAATTTAACACCATTAACTAATGTAAAATGATCTACTGTACATACAATTTGACAGTTTCATGCAAACCATATTTATTTTTGTGATATGGCAATTATCTAAGATTATACCAATGTTACTTATTATCAGTGAGTGCATTGGTTGTAACATAATTTATAGTCAAAATGTATAGATGGGATTATGTCATGAATAATTTGAATAATATTCATCAGAAATATATCAGTAGAAAATGGATATTAATTATCTTTGATGTTGACAACAAATCTCCGCTCAAAATAAAATTAATTGTGAAGTTATTATTCTCATGAAAGGATAATTCTGTATAATATAATGGTATTATCTATTGAAAAATATAAAAAAAGATATGCAGATACTGATCTTTGTCAGAAGAACTTATGCAAACTCATGAGAATAAACAAACAAATGCCATTAGTAAGTTTGTTTCAATCAGTAAATATGTTTCAACTACCCTAATAGAAACCATCAGATTTCACCTGGTGTTCAACTCTAAAGCAAATTTATTAAAGTAGAATAACATTTCTAGAACTGTAGCATAATTCTGGTATACCTTGTACAAAAATGATAAATGCAATCGAACTGCAATGACAAACAAAAAGTTTCCTTTGCCACAACTGCAATTTGGATTAACATCTTTACTAAACATTACATAACATTCATGCGAAAAAGAAATTAAAAATATTTTTCCATTATGAAACTGTATCACTTCTAAAGCAAATAATTAGCTCAACATAAGGTTTTCTTTTAATGACAAGGTATGTAAAGCAAAGTTACTACAGTGCTTATGTAGAACTTATAGCTAAAAACTTGGATAATGAAAGTTTAAAAAAAAAGGAACAGAAAATTATTACTGGTACCCAACTTGGAAACTGACTACCACCATCCACAAACTAATAATAACTCCTTTACTCTGTTACTTTCATTCCTCAAAATTATGTAACTGCTATTACTTTTACAAATATTACATGACTTTAATCTATAGGTTTACTCTTCATGCGTCATGCTATGGAAGAGCAATCAGATCTATATAAAACTAGTTGGTGAGCTGATATTCAGACTTGGAAGAACTTGACAGCATTAAAAATTAATTGCTATCTTCCTTCATGAAAAATGTACTTGACAGAATATAAAACATTTATATTTCTTATGTCTTTTTGGATTTTAAAAATCAGTTCTTTACAAGTGTATTCAAAACAATAACAACAAAATAATATCTTTTTTAAAAATCCATGGCTGCAGTGTACTGAATAATTAAATGGCAAACAATGAAAAGTAAGGCAATATAGACAAACTATACAATGTGGAATTAATAAAATTAATTGAGAATTGTGACACCATTCTGGTCTTTTTCTAATGATTCACTTCTTTTGCTTTTACATAAACTTCTTGAATATTCAAAAGAATTTTTAATGTGAATGATAAACAAAAGTAGTTGTTTTTCAACAATCATGAGACAGTAATACAAATGTTAAAAAAATATTAAAAACCATTATTTGAGTATACTTTCCTCTTGTAATTTCTAATTAATTTTGACGGCTATTCAGATACAATTCACAAAAAAAGGTATCTTCCTTTTAAAGTAGATTCACTTGCCTTTTCAAAAGGCACAGATCAACCATTTAAAGTTAATGTAAGAAAATTTTAGTGTTGTTATACAGTTTTTAACATAATTAATTGTGCAAAATGTGGGGTATTTGTTCATCCTATTAAAATCCAGAATTTTAAATGATAGCCAAAACTGTTTGTTTCTATTTCTTTGCTTATAAGTCTATAATAATAATAATAATAATAATAATAATAATAATAATAATAATAATAGTACCCTTCAATTCTTTTCTGAGTTATCTTCCATTCATCTCTTATTGCCTCCTGTCTGCTGTCAAATTCAACTCCAAACTGACAAAAAATGTGCATAGTTTTTCTAGCAAAAAAGCACTAAACTCACCTCTTCAAGGGTCCGATAAGCCTGAAGCATGGACAAAAAAGGGCAAGCAGGCATTACGCAGAGGCTCTAGGAAACACACTCAAGGATTGGCTACAGATGGAAGGGAACTTAACTCAAGTTTCTCAGTAACAGCTCACATTTCTTTGGCTCCTGTTTTGAAAGAACCAACAAGTGGGGGGAAATTCCGAAACACATCTTCATAAAATAATTTGGGAATTACCTTTTATAAACATTTTATATCAAAATTTCATTTAATCATATTTTTCCCTGACAATTTCTTTTTATAGTGAATATAGATATGACATTCATACAGATATGAAGATAATAAGAATGTAAAATTAATGATTTTTCGAGTGGGGAAAAATTATGCAAATGCTCACACAAACTATACATTTATGTCCTTAATTCAGGAAATAGTACATATGTATAATATAAATATAAAAAAAAATCAACAACAACAAAACAAAAGAAAAAAAGAAAGAAGAAACACATTCTAAAGTCTTATTTTAACTTTCCTTACTAAAATTAATTTTTAACTTCTTAAAATTATATAAATGCAGATTGATATTCTTACAACAGAAAATTGATCTTTAGTATAAATTTTCTTTGGGCCAGAAGAATTTATCAGCTAATTTTATCATTACATTCATTACAGACATTTATTATAGCTCTTTTCTGGTATCAAACAGGCTTGTATTTAGCAGAAATGAGCAAAATATAAATCAGTCATTCTAGGATCAAAGTACATTAGTGCAAAGGAGGAGAGGTTATTTACTTTAAGTGCAACTTCTCTAACATTTATGGACATTATTTTAAAAGAATTAATATTTGCAAAAACTATCACAAAATTATATTAATTTTAAGATTAATAAATAAGTACTACGAAGCAGATCCCCAAGAGAAAAGGGTACATGTCTAAAATTTCACAAGTTTTGTTACATCAACTCTATGAACAATAAATAATTCTACAATTTAATTCATGAAATAACTACCTTGCACCTGCCAGTCAAATGGTCTTGCAGTGATGCAAGGGTAAGAGTGGGTGAAATGTTTCACTCATAATACTAATATTCAAATTCAATCTAAAACATGGCGCTCTACAGTTTTCTATTTTTTAACAACTTCTAATTAAACACAAAATTGTAATTTGCATCTGTGCTAACAAGTTGAATATCAGACTAGCAAAAAAAGAAGAAAAAACTTTGAGAATGATTATGTGAGTAATAAAACAAGAGGTCTTGTAATATATTGGAACAATAAGTTAGACTTACATGCATTAAGTTATGTAATAATTGATTGGTCTAATTTATGTAGTCCTTTGGGGACTACACCTGGACCAGAAAGCAACTGTTGAAAGTAACATCTGCCATCTTCAAGGGAGATATTAATGAGAAAATATAAACCCTGACATTGGAGAGAACATACACACACTTGTCTCTCAGATCACAGGGCCCTGGCGTGGTCATGTCTTGGGGCCACTTACACTCATGCGTATGGATACATGTACTCACAACACATACAGACCAATCGGTGAACAGCATCTAATATTGCTGCGTTATCCAAATTATTTCCATCTAAAATCTATACTCTAACTTCATGAATTTCACGAATCGGAATGTTCTGCTATGCTTTTAGTTTTTAGCACATGTGCACATGCTCTTTTTTACCAACTTTTAAAGAAAAGCCACACAAACGTTTGAATTTCATTTTTGCATTTTGTTTCATGCCCATGCTAAAATATAGAAATTCCAAAAGCTGCATGGTCATGCAGATAGAAGCTGCAGCAATTCATAAAATTGAATTTGAGAGCACATTCAAGTGATTTTCTCATACATTTCTTCAATTTTGAAATTAATGTTGTGTCAAGTTTGCACTTCCTTTCAGTTACTTCCAACAAAAAGCGAACTTGTTATGAACAATATCAATTTACAACAATGAGTTGTAGTAAGTAGGTACAGGCCAATAAAACTCTTGCCAGGGCCCCCAGGTGTTCCAACTTTCAAATTGAAAAAAAATTTAAGTGTTTTGGCAGTCACTGGTACACAGAGGTAACTCATTTATTTGCACACAACTTAATAAATTGGAAATACCCAAACTAAAAAAATGGTGTAAGATATATTAAATCTAAACATTAATCTGAAGATTAAGCCTACTTGATTTTATTTGTATAAATCATAAATTTTATTCTTAGTATGCTCATACACTGCAAGATAAACTCCAAGTTACGAGAATTCTTGAAAAATTTTGTTTTTAGCTTCACAGCACTACATATTACAATACATTTTGTACAAAATCTTAGAAATAATAATCCTCTTAGACAAATCGGTGGCAGTTTTAACACACATTGTGTGAAAAGTTTTGATATTTAAATGTTTTCTTGTCTTTGTCCAAATTTTCTTGTTTTTAGTAGTATATGATGTGGTTATTCTTAAAGCCCATCAAATTTTCATTTCAAACAATAAGAAAAGTTAAAAGGGTTGGTTATATCAGCCCAGTAAATGACATAAAATATTGCAAATATAATGCTTAGTTCTAGCAGTCATATTGTGGCATATATAGTTTAAAATATTGACATGATATGAAAGCGTAGGTGGTTGGAGTCTGTATCTACTTTGCTTTCCATGAAACGCTGTGTCCTAGGCACAGGTGCCAATGCATTTTACACTGAGGAAGGTTGCGGTACGGTACCCAAAATGTTGGCACCCTTGTCTAGAACATGGCATCTTCCGGACAGCCTAGTAGCTATTGACATGATACACACAATAATGAGTACATCATTCCCAAGAGGGCATCATTGAGAAAGAAAGATGAAAAAGGCACAGCTG